CTGTGTTCTGTTATTTCTTGAATTTGAGCTTTCTGGTTTTGGAGGTCTACCATCTTCTTTCCATTTAATACATTGTTTGACCTTATGACCTTTTTTGCAATAATTGCAAACTAGTTTTCTCTTATTGGTGGAGCTGCTTCTCTTTTCTGCAAGTAACGCCTCCTGATGACTTTCATTATTCTTGTGCGATAATGCCATTTCATGAGAACAAAGCTGGGCTGGAACTCTGTAGTCCCAGCCCTGATTTGTTAAATTGTCTATAGTTCTGTCAGATTTCAACATTAACATCTAGCTTGACTTGAAGGAGTCGTCTTGGGGGTAGAGCTTCTAAAATCTTACAGACTAACAGCAACTGAGGTAACTCACAATTACATATTTTATTTGTAATGATTTTGTCTTGTGATAACCCGTTTTGCAGCTCATTCCACAGGTTCTTGAGCTTAGACGTGTTCGTTGCCATATCATCTACAACTTTCTTCTTATAGTTGAAGAATTCTAAGCAATCAACATAGATTTTGTCCTCGACATTGTCATCAAAGAGCCTATTCAATTCAACCCACACTTATCTTGCACACTTATAACCTCATAACTTTTTGTAAGGTATCTTTGTGTCATATTTATCGTAAAAGCAAGAAGTGCATTACAATCTGTAGTATTGAAACTCACCAGGCTTGCCATATGCGCAGCACCAATTTTCCTTCAAAAATATCAACTACATTTGGAATACCTCTTAGAAAAATATTCATTTTATATTATAAAGAATATAAATGTCAATTTAGAAGTGTCCAGCTGGCAACTAGTCCTCAACCTTTTCTTGACCATCCATAGTCCGAAAATTCCCTGGAAATAACACCAGCTTGTCGTCTGCTCAGGAAATCACTGGTCCACTTTAATTTCATCTGATATAGTGTATGTATAAGTAGTTAAAATAATGGGGTCCGATACATGCGGAACAGGAATTTGTATTGTCACTATATGCATCTCCAAGTTGTAGTATAACATACCCGAGTTCGTTCAGTAAGATTGAACGATGAGAATTTTTATTACCCTTTAAACAACAAATCTTCTGAAAAATAAAATGAGAAACAAATAGGACCTACGTTGTGGAAGCTTACTCAATTTTACTTACTGGACATGCGCCCGACATAGCAAATAAACTACGCGTCAATCGAACTCGAACACCCCAATTTTTGGCCACTTTTTGAAAGGCTATAACTCAAAAACTAGCATGCCGATTTTGATCAAATTTTCAGGAGTGAAAGGATGCTCTAATTGCTATTTAATTTGCAGTTCTTAACAGATTTCCGGCCACCTGCTAAAAGATACAGGGTGAAACATAAGTTGGCGATTTGTTTGCGAAAGTTTGGGTTCACCCAATTCTGCTGGAGGGAGGGTTAAGTAGATTTTTGGTATGCAGTTTAGAAGAGTACCTTAGTACCTCGGGACGTTTTTGAGATTTTTTGAATATCGCAGCCCACTACGATTTTATCTTGAGTTATGCGATTTTAGGTAAAATATAGCTATTGACGTCATTATTTCTTTTCGAAACAAACACTACAAAAATGGCGCATGTGAAAACGCACTTAGAACATATAATACAGGGTCAAACTAAAATATATAGGGTGTTCTGATAAGAGTTTCCGGATGTTTTTCTCAATTCAAACGAAAAGGAAACTAGGGAACATTTAATACTTTATAGTAATAAGTAACATGATCGTTTACAATTATACGTGAAACGCAATATCCAACAAATGCCACCACTCTCACAGCACACAATTTTTAGCCAAAATTTTCGATCACATTTGTGCACATTTCCGGTGGTGTCTCACGAATAATGCGCCGAATCACATCTTTCAACTCTTGAATTGTTTGGGGATTGTTCACATACGCTTTTCCTTTGATGTAAGCGGCGCAACATGTCACACAGCAAGATAAACCATTGACTTATTGCAAACACGGTTTGAAGGTAAACTTCTTTCAAGAAATGGGGATGTCAATTGGCCGCCTAGATTTTGCGATCTAACGCCACTAGACTCTTTTTTGAGGGGTTGCATCAAAAGCAAAGTGTATGTTAACAATCCCCCAAACAATTCAAGAGTTACCACCGAAAATGTGCACAGATGTGATCGAAAACAAAAACGTCCCGAGGTACTAAGGTACTCTTCTAAACTGGAAAATTAAATAGCAATTGGAGCATCCTTTCACTCCTGAAAATTTGAACAAAATCAGCCTGCTAGATTTTGAGTTATAGCCTTTCAAAAAGTGACCAAAAATTGGGGTGTTCGAGTTCGATTGACGCGTAGTTTAGTTGGGAAATTTAAGGGAAGTTGTGATATGTAAAAGAAACGAAAAATTTATGAAACGTCTACTTTATTATTAAAGTAAATCGTACCGTTCTCATCCTGGAACTAACGAGGGGAAAGAGCACGTCAGACAAACCCTCGATCTATATTCCTCAAAAATCGAAACATACTGTGTCATTTTAATAATAATTGTGAGTCATTAATTCAATTATTTAAGTCAATAAAAGTTAAATTAGGTACCAGCCTTTGTCTCTGTTCTAAAATTTCAATTACACACATTACATTCAATCAACATTACCTATATTCAATATTGAAGTGTTTTTGGTTAGTTAGCCAGTTTCCCAACAGGTACTGAGGTCCCATACGGGAAGCTACCCAGCTATAGTTGTTTTTGAGCCAATATCTCTAGATTGATTATTTCAATTTGCTAGGATATTCTCTCGTCAAGGTAGGAAAATGTTAGTAAATTCAACAAGGCCCTAATGTACAGTTGCGATCAAAAAAAAGTAGTACAAGAAAAATCTCCAAAATCTCCCGGTCACAATACATACAATACATTAATTTGATTCATACCACAAGTTGACATATTTTTGGCATTTTTGACAAATTTTTAACCTAAAAAGCTTCAGATGACATTACTTTGGCATTTTTCTACCTGTTTTTAACCTAGAATATGTCATTGCGTGAACCCAACATATTTTGAAACGTTTATTTACTATCAAAATTTTGTATGTTACACTGGGAGCTTAAAGTGGGATTAATAATTTTTGTACTACTTTTTTTTAATCGCAACTGTACGTTTGGAATACACAAAATCAAAATCTCAGCACAAAAAGACAGCACATAATTTCTTGGGTTTTAATTTACTCTTTATCTATGTTGTTTACAGCATGGAACGATTTTTTGTTAAATACATGAACAATGCACATGTTATAAGGAATGTCAAAAACGAACAAAAAAACATATATAAAAATGGAAAAAATGATACTTGTATAAATAATTGAACTCTCGAAAACAACATAATAATTATTAAACTGACCTGTGATTGCTCCTTGACACACACACTAATAACAAATTGGATTGAACAATCAATTTAATGCAAAATGAAAATAAAAATTGAATAATGAATAATTACAGACACGCGACACGCGTCTAAGGGACCAGTCTAGCTTCTTCTCCAGTCTCTCTAATGCCTAATCGCCTCTTCTTTACCTCCCGTTCGGTTCGGTACCCTTTCAGTGCTCTTCACGGCGCAATATTTATTTTTATTCAGTAAACGTTTTTTTAAAAAGTCAAGATTTGAAGAAATAATATTTTAAATAGGTGGTTTTCTTCAAAGAGTTATTTGAAAAATTAGGTGTTTGAATGTTCAAGTCAAAAATTGTGTAAGTTACAATAATTGTCTAATTGATAAAGCCTAAAACTGAATAAAGAAAACAATGAAAAATATCGTCACGGGAGTCCACTAGAACTCTCTCTATTAACAACAAAAACTTTTATTGGACTAATGGGCTTGACAAAATTCACTATCATTTTCACTATTAATTTTATACCACAAAATTACCTTATTCATAACCGAGTTCAATACTAAACTGCAATTGGCAAGCTAAGCCCATTGACCTAAAATATCGTTTTAATTTACTCTTTATCTGTGTTATTTACAGCATGAAACGATTTTGGTTAAATGCATAAACAATGCACATGTTATAAACCAACAAAAATACATAAAAATAAACAAAATAATAGGAACTTGCATAAATTGAACTCTCAAAAACAAAATAATAATTAATCCACTAACCTGTACGCTCCTTACACACACACTAATAACAAATTGGATTGAACAATTAATTTTAATGCAAAATAGAAATGAAAATTGAATAATGAATAATTTCAGACATGCGTCTAAAAGGAACCGCTCCAGCTTCTTCTCTCGTTTTTCTAATGCCTAATCGTCTCTTCTCTTCTATCCTCTTCGGTTTTCGGTACCTTCATTTTTCTGTGGCGCGCTCGTTCCTATAAACTTGTACCGCGCATACATGGTTGCAACATTTAATATTATTCAGTAAAACTTTTTTTTAAAAAGTTATGATTTGAAGAAATAATATTTTAAATAGGTGGTTTTCCTCAGAAGCTATCTCAATTAGTTTCAGAGGTGTCTCATTAGTGCCCCTTGAACTTCCATGAAGCATACCTATTACTTTGTGATAGTTTTAATTGTTGAAAAATTTCAAAGACCCATTAGTGCAATTCCTAAATCAAATATTGCCTAGAATCAGGTAGACGGAACCTTCATCACAACGATGTCTAAGCTTTAACTCATTCAAAATATAATTTGATGACAGATATAAGTTTACAGCTACTATTGCGTCAAAGGGACTAATTCACTTTGAAAATCGACCGATTTTTTAATATACTTATATATATATTTTTTATACATTGCAGAATTAATAATGTACCTAGAAAAGCTATTAATCTAGATGGGTAGGTACTCATTCATCTCATTAGAACACAATAATTCTATTTTAAGATGCAAATACCCTTTATAGACTTCTCGAACCAATTTCTAAATTTCCATATTACCTACACACACAAAACTGAGCTTTCACCAGGCCTGTTTCAACTTTACCCAATTCAATCCCTATCATGTGAAACGTGCAATGAGTGAACGACAAACGCAAGCAGGCAGACAACTTCCACTTTACAAAACAAGCCCGCCTTTTACGTTACAACACGATACGAAATACAAAAGTCTATCTATAGTCTACTGTTGGTTCTTCATGGGACGCCAGCCAATATTCAGTTGTAACGACGACAGTCGCCGGTTCGGATTTTAAATAGCGATATGGGGTATATCACCCCAACAAAAGTTTGAGTCATAACGTAGGGAGAGTGCGGACTGTTAATAGTGGTATTGTGTGCAACTTTGAATTATTTGTGGCATCTGGAAACTATAATAATGTTTTAGTTGTTAGGTTGTTAGTGACTTGGGTATGATATGTTTTGAAGTTTTTTCGATTTTTATGATTCATTAAATTCGGTTGATTAGAGAGCTTGCATAATTTGGGCTGAAACAATCTTTAATTAAATGTTTTAATCTTATCCATTTTTTCATAAAAATGCTAAAACCCCAGCCAAAAGTATGGTAATTCATTTAATCTGATGGAACAGAATTTGATAATTCCAGGCAAAAATTTATTTTTGCCCGCTTTTTAATTACTGCATGAAAGGCAGTCAACCATCAAAGTCTAGAATTTGGTTTTTATTTTATAGCACGCCCCAAGGAAGCCCTTATTTTTCATTAATATTTTTCATGGAGATTCCTGGAAAGAAGCTATTTTCCAATTTTTCCTGGAAAAAAGCTATTTTCTAAGTTTTCCTGGAAAGAAGCTATTTTCCAATCCTGACACCAATAATAATCCCTCTGATGTTAAAAATGTCATAATCTGCGACTGGCCTTTTTTCAAGTATAGACTAGATTGGAATTTATTTTTATTTTCGAAAATCTCCTCATATTTAAACTATAAAATTGCACTAGAGTTGTAATGTCTTTGATCTAACATTTCTTGTTTGCCTGCAAAATTCCCTTGTTTGCTGTTTCTTTCTATATTGAAAATAAGTTGAAGCACAACGGTTGAAGTGAGTTGGTAGGTATTTATCAAACTGGAGCTTGAAGATTTGTAACGCTCTACCTATAGCTCTTTTGGTCGTCACGGCAAATTTGGAAAAAAAATAAATAAGATCATTAGTAATAACTATCTCAGTTAAAGAGGAAAAAAGTTATTGGACATTTTTTATTTAAGTAAGTAAATAAACTAATTTGAGGCTCGTGCTTGTATCTCTGTTATTTTTGAGTCATCTGGAAAACGTTGAAAGAGCTTGTGGCATTAAATTTTCTAGGTCAATCACCCCTTGAGATTTTTTGCTCATAATTTCTGGACTTTCTGTAGAAATTCATGTATGATCCCTCTTACCGCCCTTTGCAGTCTTTGCCATTGCTAAATATTTCTGAGGGGGCACAAGAGGTTTCATTGTTAATTTAAAAGGGACATCTATATATTATTGGTATCGGCACGAAATCTAATATTTTCTTACAAATATTTAAGTCTTTGTTGAGTTATAAGTTTGTTGCAAAAAAGAAGTAAATGTTAAATCAGTAAAATATTTATTTACCATTATCCAAAATCCCTAATCTTCAACACCTCACGTTCCATGTCTGGGTATCCTTCCAATCAACTGAAGACAACAATTCTGCATAAGCTGAGAGCGATTTGCATCAAAAGCCAGCAGGCAGAGTGCCTCTAAAATTAAAGTGCAAGAGCACAAGACAGTCAAAGAACATTTCCTTAGAGTTTTCATTTAGAATGCAGTTTTAGCTGTAAGTTTTATAGACTACCGTTATTTATGCCAGCGTTTTACGCAAGAACCTTTGTCTTACAGAAGAATCTTCACACTTAAGACATGAGAGGTTCTTATTACTTCCAACAAATTGAAATTGTTGTCAATCAATGTGCTCTAAGTTTATAGCCAATCTAGTGCAAAATTAAATACAACTCATGGTAACTATTCTCCATTATGAACAACGAGTCTCGAACCCTGATTGTGGCCCCGAAATCAAATCTTGTGGTCTTGCCAAACTTGAATCGACCAAAATTGCCTTCACTTGCTAGACTTTGTTTGCGCCTTATAATAATCCGTTTAATTCCAAAAGTAATATATTTTTTTATAATTAACATCAAACCTAATTATATATGGCTCACATAGGAATAGGCTAAACCTTGGGCTGAATTTTGACTGGTTTTCTGTTTTCATTTAATTAAAAGCTCTCTGACTGTTTTGCAATTTCTAAGTTTTACACTCATGCTAATTTGCACAAGCTATTCTTGTATTATTCGTAAAGCATGAGATGCCCTCATAAACAAATTTGTCTAACGTGCCCTCTCCTATACAAATAAACATGAATCACCAAGGGTGTGCTATATAAAATCGATTATGCAGCTCTAAGGCACTTACCCTATTAAACTAATTAAATAATGGAATTAGGGAGCTTTTCAACTTGTAAAGCTTCACTTGGGAATTTGTTACATCGACACTGTGAACGAAATAGCTTTTGAACCTTATTATAATAAAATACAATGAATGTATGTCGGCTGTTACTTCTGGCACTGAAATTCTACAAAGTTGCCTCGAGCTAGCATTTAAAAATATAAAGAGAAACGGGATGGTACCCAAATCACTTCTTAATTAACTACTTTTGATTTAATCTTGTTTGTTAGACGACATATCGTTGCCCTAAAAAACCTATCCGAACATATTTTGATTGATGTTTAACATTATTTTCAATTAACCAATTAGCTGATTGGATTTGCTCGTTTCAATAAGATCAAATTTGAATAGAATCCAGGTAGTTATTTTTAATAAAATTAAAAGCAATCATGCATTTACCATGAAAATCATCAGGATGCTAGTTAGTGAATGTGATTCGTAGAAATTGGCTTTTTTTTTGCTGGAAATATCATTTAACGCCATCGTTAAACCGGGAATGTTGCTGGTATTTTTCATCAGAATATTTTCGGTTCAAAGCATCCGAGATTTGGTTTTGTTTATTTTTCCAAATTTTATGCATGCTATTTGGACCTCCATTCAAAGAACATAGGCACACTAGATTTTTGAACATCAATCCTATCAATATCGTTTATTTATCTGTACCCATACAGAGGCTTAAATTGGAATTTAAATTTTAATCCTAAATTCCAAGGGGGAATTGAAGCTTGCTTTATCCAATAATTTTTTGAAAGCTTCTCCGTTTTTCGGTCTATTTCTGGATGTAAGGAAAAATCCCATAAATCTCAGATAAGTGTTTTAAAATTGGTTGGGTTAAATCATAATTTAGACGATATGTGACTGCGAGTGTAGTTTGACTGGAATATTTTTGGTGGCACAAAGCCGGCAAGTACCAAAGAGAATTATAAAAATATTACTTCCTTATAAATAATGAATTAATTTATCTATTTTTGTCTCATTTATCAAGTCATTATCTGCGACGTTTATAAAAATATTCTGGGATGTTGGTCTAGGTACGTGATAATATTTTTATTGATGCTAGACGCTTATGCGGAAGTAAGTAATTTATGGTAATTAAATGTTTTTATATTACAATGGAAGTTCTGTTCTCTGATAAAATTATATGTAAAATAATATATTGTTTTTATTACGCGTTTTATATTCGAAACCATTCATTCAATCGATTAAATCTCTATATATATCACGTATAAATTCTTGTTTGTCTTAATCACACAATGGATCCAAATTCCTGAATATTCGCGATCGAGTCGGCTCTCTCGCACCAATCTTATTCCAGGAATAACAGGGGCTATGTCAACCTGCCCCACCGCAGCCTTAGAGGCCTCCTCTTCACCTTTATGTGAAAAAAAAGCCAAGAATAGATGCCTATAGGCAAACTATTCCAGACAAGAAGATTGGAACCGGTGATCTTAATGGCCACTCACGCATCCTTCAGTCTAAAGCTCGAGTGCCAAAGTAAACCAATAGATAATAGGATAACATTACTGGAACTTGACATTACATATAAAGGTAAAAGAACGCCAATCATGGAAGAACGTCCAGGCATTGGAGAAATTCAGCTTGCAAAACTTTGTAGTCGCAATTTTCACATATAATATGTTCTTCAGATTGAAGCGTTAAACAAAAATTTGAGTTTTCGACCTAAAGGTTTTCGGCTTCCTCCGCCATCTTGAATTTAGTATGCACAAAAATGGTTTTCATGGTATAACTCGTGAACAGTCAACTTTTGTAGCTGTTATCTGTAATGAGCTACAGCTACAAAATAGTATGTATATTGTTTTATTAGGAGCAAAAGTGATACTTTTTGTAACGAGACTAAATGTTTGATGGCCGAACGTAATGAGGCCGACAATTTTAGACGAGCCACAAAAAGTGCTTTTCTCCGAATAAAACATGCGATTTTTTCCGCAAACGGTGTTCAAAGCGATGGAATCAAGGAAATTTCTGTGACGTCACTTTTTTGTCCGGCCGTGAGCGTACAAAATAGTTATTTATGCAACAAGTGTGTAAAGTGAACCTTTTTTCACGAATGTGAATTTTGACGCACGAGCCGAAGGCGAGTGCGACAATCACATGAGTATTGCATACACGTATTGCATACAAAAAAATTTCTACTACCAATCAAATATGTGTGAAAAAATAAATTTAGACAAACTCTTTACGTACTAGTGCGTAAAGTATTTTCACTTTACGCACTAGTGCGTGAAGTAATTTACCAGAAAAATAGTAATTTGACAGTGTCGACATCTGTCATTAACATTACATTAATTTTACGTGTTCTGAATAGTGCGTAAAGTGAGTACTTTACGCACGGTCGTAGAAAATAGTTATTTATGCAACAAGTGTGTAAAGTGAACCTCATGTGATTGTCGCACTCGCCTACGGCTCGTGCGTCAAAATTCACATTCGTGAAAAAATGTGCTTTACGCACGTATTGCATAAATTTTTTTTTCTACTACCAATCAAATATGTGTAAAGAATAAATTTAGTCAAATACTTTACGCACTAGTGCGTGAAGAATTTTCACTTTACGCACTAGTGCGTGAAGTGATTTACCAGAAAGTGACAAATTGACAATGTCGACATCTGTCATTGATATTACTTTACGCACTAGTGTGTGAAGTGAATTACTTTACGCACTAGTGCGTGAAGTGAAATTTTACGTCTTCTAAATAGTTAGTTAGTTCTAAATAGTAGCACGGTTGTAGAAAAAAGTACTTTTTTGTACGCTCACGGAACGGACGGACAAAAAAGTAGGTAAGCAAAAAAATGACGTCTGTGAAGTCAAACTTCAACATTAGGAATTGAGGTTAAAAAAGTCGTCATTTTTTGACGTTTGTGGAAAAAGTATTTTATTTTATTTCTTTAATTCGCATTTTTACTATATTTTTTTTGTTTTTTAGATA